TTGTGAACCTGCATCCCAGACCAAGGGGCCACAGGACGCCTCTTTCTCTCGGGGGCGCTGGAAGTGGTGCGGCCTAGCAACAGCTAGTGAGCCTAGGTTTGTCTAGAACATTCCTGGATTCTGCAGGAAAATCACCCTATGTGTGCCCCTTTGCACCAGGCCTAGGGGCCGAAATTCACATTTCTCTCCCAGGGAGCCCTAACGCGGTGTGACCTAGCAACTGCTTGAAAATCCATCCCATTGCTGTTTTCCACCTTCTGACAGAGCTAGTTTTGTTCCTCGCTTTGGGATATCTCAAGCAAGGGGCTGGTCTGTAACTCCTTGCCTGGGGCCCATTGGATGTGCAAGGTGCCCTCGACTAGGTGACCCCAGCATGGCACCCGCCCCCCTCAGACACACTTCCGCAGCCTTCTTCCTCATGGGCAGCACTGCTCTGACCCAGGAATGTGTTTGCAAGGCTCGGAATGTGCATGAAGACACATGGCCCTGACTCTGGAATTGAGACCCTCGAAGCAGGCCTGCAGGTCTGATGTCTGAGAAGCAAAACACTTGCTGCAAGGTACAGGCCTGAAAACACACTCTCTGCGGATGCCTTTCCTTCCTCCAAAGAAGGTAGCTATCCCAGTCTCCTGCATGCTGAGTGTCACACAGCTGGAATGCGCTTGAGTGGAGGTCATGATTAGTGGTATCGGCTCCTGAGGCCCTGTGCCCGGGTAGGGCTCCCATACTCACAGGCAAATCAAAGCAACTTCCAAATGAGGCAGCTCTTTGCATCAAGTGGCCAATGTATTGGAGTTTCAGGTTCAACATTAGTCTTTCCAATGTATATTCAGACCTGATTTCCTTTAGGATGGAGTGGTTGGGTCTCCTTGTAGTCTAAGCAACCTTCGAGCATCTTTTTCAACATCACAGTTCAAAAGCATCAAATCTTCGGCTGTCAACTTTCTTTATAGTCCATCTTTCATATCCATACATGACATATGGAAAAACTATAGCCTTGACTAGACAGATCTTTGTTGACAAAGCAACGTCTCAGCTTTCTAACATGCTGTCTAGGTTGGTCATCACTTTCCTTCCAAGTCGTAAGCATCTTTTAATTTCATGGCTGCAGGCACCATCTGCAGTGATTTCCAAGTCCCCCAAAATAAAGTCTGCCACTGTTTCCACTGTTTTCCCATCTGTTTGTCTTGAAGTGATGAGACTGGATGCAATGATCTTAGTTATCTGAATGCTGAGCTTTAAGCTAACTTTTTCACTTTCCTCTTTCACTGTTAACAAGAGGCTCTTTAGTTCTTATTCACTTTCTGCCAAAGGGTGGTGTCATCTGCATATCTGAGGTTACTGATATTTCTCCCAACAATCTTGATTCCAGCTTGTGCTTCATCTAGCCCAGCGTTTCTCACGATGTACTCTGCCTATAAGTTAAATAAGCATGGTGCCAATATACAGCCTTGACATATTCCTTTTCCTATTTGGAACCAGTCTGTTGTTCCAGGTCCAGTTCTAACTGTTTCTTCCTGACCTGCATACAGATTTCTCAAAAGGCAGGTCAGGTGGTCTGGTATTGCCATGTCTTTCAGAATTTTCCACAGTTCATTGTGATCCACACAGTCAAAGGCTTTGGCATAGTCAATACAGCAGAAATAAGTGTTTTTCTGGCACTCTCTTGCTTTTTCAATGATTCAGTGGATGTTGGCAATTTGATCTCTGGTTCCTCTGTCTTTTCTAAATCCATTTTGAACATTTGGAAGTTCATGGTTGACGTATTGCTGAAGCCTGGCTTGAAGAATTTTGAGCATTACTTTACTAGCATGTGAGATGAGTCCAATTGTGCAGCAGTTTGAACATTCTTTGTCATTACCTTTCTTTGGGACCAGAATGAATACTGACCTAACAACCTAGATGTTTTCAATTGCATATGCTAAAAGAACTGGCTTTGCAGTTTCCAAGGAAAAACTTTCATTTTAACCAATTTTCTCTGAAGTCCAAGGAATATCATGGCCATCCTGCATCAAAACGTCATCTTTCCTTTATGTAGTCATAATTTCATGCCTAAATTATAGACCGACTCATGCTCAAATTGACTCTGATATCAGGAATAGATCAGCTGATAAAAAGCTTGGATTGTCCCTCTGGAAGGAAGGGAGACCTTGGTCCCATGAGAAGAATCTGAGGGCTTAAGGGAATTTGCAGGAGTGGGGAAAGCTTGGTCCATCCTACATGTACCATAATCTTAAATAATGCTTATTTACTTTACCAAAGTAAAAAATAGATGATTAAAACAAATATAAATCACTGAAAGGTAAAGAAATTCATCTGTGATTGAAAGCCGCATTCTAAGAAAACTTTGTTCTCTTAAACTAGAGAGGAGACTAAATTCCAGTCTGGTATCAGCTTACCAGATAACAAACAAAAAAATTGTTTACAGGTAAGCTTAGAAAAGTCTTTTCCATGTATCTTGAAGTAGCAGTATTTTTGCAAAAATCAGTGTGAAACCATAGAAGGCATGTTTAAAACCTGATTAGATAGAAATTGACAAAGTAGTCTGGTCACTGCTGTGACTTGAAACACTGTAATATGATAACTAGAATTATAACTGACAACATTTTACCAGGACATACCAGATTTTCATGGATGTCACATAATTTCTAGGATACCTATATTAGTAACTGAAGGAGTCTTTGGGCCTAGAAAAGAAAACAACAGTCTCAAAGGCCCTTGTTAAATCATCAGACTTCGGAGAAAATAAAACTCAACTTTAGGTCCCACCCTGAGGCTCCAGGCCGTTTGTAGCTATCTGGGACTTATCACCCCCTGCCCAGGGGACTTATCACCCCCTGCCCAACTACAAATGCCATCTCTCTCTCCTTCTTTCCTGCCTCAGCCCAAACTATACCTTATAGTAACATCCACCACACAATATAACTTGGGAAGATTCATCACTCCTTCTGATGAACTCAGGTTGTTTAATATCTCTCGTTGGGAGGTCTCAGGGACCCTTTGAAGCATCCCAAAGTTAGCTAGAAGTCAATTATTTAGGAAGGTTTGTTCATAAATATCAAAAGGGTTTTTAACAGTCAGGTAGGATCAAATAAGTTGCCAAAGTTAACAAAAGATGTCAAAGGTAAACCTAGAACAGATCACTTAAGAGGTAAAGAAACTTAAAATCCATTAGCAAAGGCAGTTCAACACCTCAAGAAAACTTGTACTAAGCACAAAACTCTTTTCTGGGGGTCCACTTTCTATAAAACCTGTTTATCCCATTCCGTACCCATTCCTTTGCTTCTCCCATCCTGAAACTGCCACCTGTAAGTCAGAACTACCTCATTTTCCTTCATCAAATGTGATTTCATTCCTCATACATTCTTTAATAACAAGTTGTACATTTTCCTTAAGCAACAAAGAACTGACTTTTACACTGGCATTCTGTAGATTGGTGAACATACGTATCAGTGATAACATATTAAAAAAAAATTGCTTTCTTACACTGAACGTCTCAGGATGGCACCAGACACTATTCATGGATAGTCAAAAATTTCTTTAGTTTCTGTGTAAGAGGAAGGTCCTGTCAAGTAGTGGATGTTTCAGAAACTTAATTTATTTGGAAATGACCTAGCTATTCAATACACTGTCATCACTTAGTTTAGCACAATGATAGAGACTCAGGTAACCAAAATCTGGAGAAACTATTGTAAGTTCAGTTCAGTTCAGTTGCTCAGTCGTGTCTGACTCTTTGTGACCCGGTAGACTGCAGGATGCCAGGCTTCCCTGTCCATCACCAACTCCAGGGCTTGATCAAACTCATGTCCATCGAGTCAGTGATGCATCCAACCATCTTATCCTCTGTCATCCCCTTCTCCTCTGCCTTCAATCGAGACTATTATAGACAGATAGTTTAGAGTATAATTATTGTTAATAGTTTATCTAAAAGCTCATATCACATTTACATTTTTTAGGAGTTTTTTTTGTTGTTGTTTTTAGAGGTACTTTCTTTGTTGACAAGCTTGTGACAAGTATAACAATACAGCAATTTGTAACTTATAATAAACCTGGGCACTGTGAATCTTAGACATGTCTATACTAGAGTAGCGAAAAAAATACTAGATATTTAATATTGACTGTTTCCCAGTTGATATGAATCTGAAACACATTTAGGTAAATTTTTTCTTGTATTTACAACTGTTTGATTTGTAAGGGCTTCCTTTTCTTTAGACCATTTAAATAAAAACTCACAACTTCAGCAATATTATAAAAAAACAGAAGACTCACACTGAAAGTGAAAGTGAAGTCGCTCAGTCGTGTCCAACTCTTTGCGACCCCATGGACTGTAGCCAACCAGACTCCTCTGTTCATGGGATTCTCCAGGCAAGACTACTGGAGTGGGTTGCCATTTCCTTCTCCAGGGAATCTTCCTGACCCAGGGATTGAACCCAGGTCTCCCGCATTGCAGACAGGCACTTTAACCTCTGAGCCACCAGGGAAGCCTGACTCACACTGAGATATACATAAATCCAGACAGACAGACAGACAGACAGAGATCTTCTAGTTTTCTGCCTGAGATTTAAAATATTTCTTTGAGCCCCCCCCCCCTTTTTTGGGGGGGGCACGAATACTGGAGTGGGTTACCATTCCCTTCTCCAGAAGATCTTCCCGACCCAGGGATTGAACCCCGGTCTCTTGCCTTGTAGTCAGATGCTTTATCGGCTGAACTAGGGTAGTCCTTCAAGGATGTGGAAAGGGTTCACTTCAATCTTTGCCCTAGGCAGGCCTTTGTTGTAACAAGCTAATTGTTTTGAATTGCATATGCAAAAGAAGCAGCTTTACCATTTCCAAGAAAAAAAAATTTTCTTTGTAACCAATTTCCTCTGGTTCTATAGAATATCCTGGCCGTCCTAGGTCAGGTCATCTTTCCTTTCTGTAGTTATAGTTTTATCACTAAATTATAGACGGATCAGCTGATGAAAAGCTTGGATTGTCTCTGTGGGGTGGATGTGCTTCACCTGGCGGCAGTGGCAAGGCCCGCGCGCCTCTCCTGGAAGTAGGCGTGGGGGCGGGGCGCACCTGGGCGGCGCGTCAGGGGCGGGGGTCCCGGCTGTGCTCTCAGGGCTCGCCATTGCGGCTGGGAACACCCATTTCGTGGGCTCCTGGGTCCCCGTAAAGATCGGCATCCAGTGGCGGAGCGGAGGGGTGCGGACCACAGGTAAGCGAACTGGGGCTCGGTGGCGCAGGGAACCACGCATTCCGCCCTCTGTTGGCCCAGTCTTGGAGCCCCCTAACCTGGCGGTGGCAGAAAGGCCTCGCCTTGGGGTCGAGGCCTTCACCGCTTTACCCCTTCGCATAAAGCTCAGACCCGCGCCGTTTTCCCAAGCAGCCTAGTGCCTGCTGGAAGTCCAAGGGATTTATCCTGCCTGGTGATTTCACCTGCTGGGACACCACAACCCTTACTCTGGCCGGCCCAGCCCAGCGGGCCCTTGACCACATGCTGGGATGGGAAAGGGAAGGGTCCTAGAAACTTAGTAAGGTGCATGGATTTAAAAACCTGGTGGCCACCCAGTCAGGAAAGAAGGGAGGAGGGCACCTTGCTGCCCTTTCATGGGGGAATCTGTGGCTGTCCTGATGAGAGGGGACCTTTCCATGGGGACCCTGTGCAATAAGTTTGGTGTTCTGGAACTGAATAATTAGAACGTGTAAAAATTTTAAATTATGTGGTACTTTAATTAAAAAAAAAAAAAGCTCCAAGTTTTTTGCAAATTGAGGTCTAAGAATTGAAGGCCTATTTTCCTTCCACTGTGGCATTCTAGGAAGAAATGTGCATTTTTTAAAGAAAAGAGTCAGAAAAGTGAGGGAAACAGAAAAGCCAGAGGTGCCCCTGTAGTTTGGCGAAGGCCTTAGGAGCTCACTTGTAAATGCTGCTGGCCATCGGGAGGCAGTCTCTTCCTGTGGCTGGTGGGCACAGAACTCTGCAGGCTTGTCCTTTGCATGGATATTCTTGTTTGTGGAAATCCAGCTCAGAGCCATATCCTGATGTGTAAGAATTTCCCAGACTAGACCCCTAGGCAAATCCCGCAGGGCCAGGGCCTCCTTCCTTCATTGTATTTGTCTGAAAACCAGCAATGACATTTTTCTTTCAATCTGGTCTATCATCCAGGCCTTGGAGTAGTATTTCCCTCCCCCTCAATAGGCTTGGGTTCCAGGGATGAGTTATCGTCAGTTGTCCATGATTTTGCAGATGAGGAAACTGAGAGCCAGAGAGGGTGGAGGACTGTCCAAGGGAGAATGGGAAATCCTTCCAGGAACCCTGGCTCCTGGGTTTTTAATGAGCTTTCTACCCAGCATGGCCATTAATTGGCAAGTGTTGACATTGAGAATAAACTGTTGGTGGAAATGTAAAAGGCTTTTTGAAAGAATGTGCCTACCAGCTGTGCATCTTATGGAGTATTTTCATTATACTCCCCAACCCTTGGGAAGTGCTGGGCACAGGGCAGATGCTTCATCATTTTTATTGAATAAGTTCAGTGTCACATAATTATATCCACAGTGTCAGCAACACTATGAGGTATATTAGAACAGTGATTATTACAGTTGGTACTTCACAGATCAGTAAAGAAAGACAACTTTTTATTAGAAAGACTGTAAGAGAATTGCTGTTTTAAGTTTATCCCACAAGGATGTTTAAAAAAATGAAACACATCTCTCTGGTCATCACCAAGGCTATCGGAGGTCTGTTGAGGACCCCACGCAAGGGAGGGTCTACCTCTCGGGACACCCCTGCTTCAGCATCTCCCTAAGCCAGCAACCTGGGACAGCTGAGTGCACTTGCAGTTCCTTCCTTGACCTCGGGAGTTTTTTTGGAAGACAGTGTTTTGACAGACAGGGGTGGGGGAAGGTTTGGGGATGTTTCAAGTGCAGGCCATTTATTGTGCACTCTGTTTCTCTTTCTGTTCCCTGGTGGCTCAGTTGGTAAAGAGTCTGCCTGCAATGCGGGAGACCTGGCTTCAATCCCTGGGTCGGGAAGATCTCCTGGAGAAGGAAATGACAGCCTACTCCAGTATTCTTGCCTGAAGAATTCAATGGACTGAGGAGCCTGGTGGGCTACAAAGGGTTGGACATGGCTGAGTGACTGAGCACACTTATTTCTATTATTATTTCATCAGCTCCACCTCAGATCATCAGGCCTTAGATCCTAGAGGTTGGGGCGCCCTGATTTAGTTCCCTCTTTCATCTTCTACACAGCTCCAGCCTGTTTCCTCCTCCTCTTCCACCCGCAGAACTACTTGCCGGGCTTCTCTGAGTGTGACTAAGAGTCTCCTTCCCTCACTTCCTTTCCTCTGACTCCCTTCTCCTAACTGGGTTTCCCTGATCTCCATTTAGGCACTTTTGCCCCAGGTGGTGCTTGTGGTAAAGAACCTACCCACCAAGGCAGGAATCCGATCCCTGGGTTGGGAAGATCCCCTGGAGGAGGGCATGGCAACCCACTCCAGTATTCTTGCCTGGAAAATTCCCATGGATAGAGGAGCCTGGCAGTCTCTGACAGTCGTACGTGACTGAAACGACTTAGCACAGCATACCAGAGGACCTTTGAACTGCAGACTCATGTGAATCTTTTGGCTCCCTGGAGTCCCTTGTCATTCCACATGTATGTTTGGGTCAGCTTGTGTATTGCTTCCTAAAGGCCCTGAGAGGGTAACAGGCAGGAAGGCCAGGGGTCTCCAGACAGAGGGAATAGGCTGCAAGTGTCAGACTTTTTTTTTTTTTTCTAATCTCTTTTAAGCAGCCTGGAAATAGACGGGGAGAGAGTGGAAACAGTGTCAGACTCGATTTTTTTGGGCTCCAAAATCACTGCAGATGGTGAGTGTAGCCATGAAATTAAAAGACGCCTACTCCTTGGAAGGAAAGTTATGACCAACCTAGACAGCATATTAAAAAGCAGAGACATTACTTTGCCAACAAAGGTCTGTCTGGTCAAGGCTATGGTTTTTCCAGTGGTCATGTATGGATGTGAGAGTTGGACTGTGAAGAAAGCTGAGCGCCGAAAAATTGATGCTTTTGAACTGTGGTATTGGAGAAGACTTTGAGAGTCCCTTGGACTGCAAGGAGATCCAACCAGTCCATCCTAAAGGAGGTCAGTCCTGGGTGTTCATTGGAAGGACTGATGCTGAAGCTGAAACTCCAATACTTTGGCCACCTCATGCAAAGAGTTGACTCATTGGAAAAGACCCTGATGCTGGGAGGGATTGGGGGCAGGAGGAGAAGGGGACGAAAGAGGATGAGATGGCTGGATGGCATCATCAACTCGATGGGCATGAATTTGAGTAAACTCCGGGAGTTGGTGATAGACAGAGAAGCCTGGCGTGCTGCAATTCATGGGGTCGCAAAGAGTCGGACGTGACTGAGTGACTGAACTGAACTGAGCTAAGCAGCCTGAAGAAACAAACTGGTGTTATATTTTTTCCCCTTCTCGATACAAATTTAAAAGGCTTCTCTTAAAATTCTGTGTTGCCATGACAACTCCTGGCTCCATCTGAACTTAACTCTTCTCAAACCTTGAGCTAAGCAATGCATTTTTTCTTAAGGTAATGTGTGTCTTAAGCTATGTTAATATACTCTGTATTTCTGCTAGACTGTCTTCAGATCGGTTCCCCCTAAAGGCTCAGAACTGACTTGACAAACCAGTATGTTTGACTCATACCTTGTTCTCCTAATCTATGTTAATGAAATGATACATTTGTTTGGAAATCTGCTGTTCTTCAAGATTCATGTCAATCATTTTATGGCCCAGGATGACTCACCTGCTGCCAATGTTATCTCAGTGCATGCTGTGGGTGAGGGGCCTGGTGCCATTCTTTGAGACATTGCCTTTCTTTCATTAGCAGACTGCTAGTGGCTGCCTGGAAAATCCCATGGATGGAGGAGCCTGGTGGGCTGCAGTCCATGGGGTCTCTAAGAGTCGGACACGACTGAGTGACTTCACTTTCACTTTTCACTTTCATGCATTGGAGAAGAAAATGGCAACCCACTCCAGTGTTCTTGCCTGGAGAATCCCAGGGACGGGGGAGCTGGTGGGTTGACGTCTATGGGGTCACACAGAGTCGGACTTGACTGAAGTGACTTAGCAGCAGCAGCAGTGGCTGTATAAAATCTGGCTAAAGACTAACATGGGGTACTCTTACTGCCCCTGTCTGATGTCTGTGTCAGCAGCTTTCTCTATCTCTTTTATACTTTAATAAAACTTTATGACACAAAAGCTCTGAATGATCAAGCTTTGTCAACTGGCCCTGGATTGAATTCTTCTCTGGAGGCCAAGGATCCTGGTGCCTTTTGTGGTTCAGCAACGACCTTTCAGTCGTTTGTAGTTCATATTGAATTTTCATTTCAGATTGAAGATGCATTCCATGGTATTGCCATCTTAAGTCTTCCCATCGCTATGGAATATCTGTACATGTATTCAGGATATTTTTCAGCAATCATGTATAATTTCCAGTGTGCCAGTCTTGTCATCCTCATTACATCCCTGGGAAAGTATTTTATTAATGTTGACATTATTGAAAGGGAATTGTTTTTTTTAATTCCTTTTCAGATTATTATTTGCTAGTGTATACAGATAAAACTGTAATCAGTCATTTTTATCAGTTTGGACAGCTTGATAGTTGTCTTTACTTTCTCATAATTTAAGATTACCCTGGCTCATATATTTACTGTCTCAGTTATTTCTTCAAAGAACTTGTGTTCTTTTATTTTTTAACATTGAATTATTTTTGACTATCCTGGGTCTTTGTTGCTAGATGTCTAGTTGTAGTGAGCAGAGGCCACCCTCTAGCTGCCGTGCCATGGCTTCTTATTGCAGCGCTTTCTCTGGTTGCAGAACTTGGGCTCTGGAGCATGCAAGTACTTCAATAGTTGTATGGGGGCTTAGTTGCTCCTGGGCATGTGGAATCTTCTAGGACCAGGGATTGAACCTGTGTTACCTGCATTAGTAGGCACCACCAGACCACCACGGACATTTCCTGTTCCCTTTCATTAGAGAATGATATTTAAAACATACATGTAGGAGCTAAATATGCTCAGCTGACAATACTTGGAAATATATACATGTATTCCAGCTTATTCAGTTGAAGGTAATTTGTGATGATGTCTCCATGGATCTTGTAACCTTTCCTTTTGTTTATCTGTAACTTCCCATTCCAATGGTAAGATACATGGCTTCCACCACTTGTCATGTATAGAATTCAATGCTTGTCCC